AAACAGTAATCTAGAAAGGTTGACCAAAGTTAAACAGATTCCGCCGCGTTTACCTCGAATAAACTCAGTCCGTCTGGTCCGTTCATTAGTAGAACCGCGACGTGAATTTGAATAAGAGTCACAGTAATTGAAGCGGTTCTGGACATTCATGTCGAGACACTTGGCAAATTACTCATTTCACTAAATAAAATGAAATGGCGTGCCTGAGTTGGAATTTCAAGTTTGTAAAATGAGTTTGATCCTAATTTCTCGTTTCGCGTTTTGAATCCATTTGATGTTGAAAAAATTGTTGTTAAATATTTTGATAGTTTTACAAATAAAAAAAATCGTATTAGGCTGGGTTTTAAGGTGCTCTTGCAAACATTATTCATGAAAAAACTCGTTTTCCCGAGGGTTCGGGATAGCTATTGTTATACTGTATGTATTCTTTAGGTGAAAAGGCACCTGAAGCACACTAAGTTAAGTTAACAAAACTCAGCCGAAATACTCTTCATTTTTGTATTAGCTCTGGCTAGATTTGTCTATTAATTTTGTACTAACTTTCTCGCCTAAATACGGATCAGATACCAGGTCCTAAACCTTTTCTCGTTAAAAACATTTTTTGTCAAACTGAGATTAGAACTGTCCGCAATAGTCGAAACAACTTAAATCCACCGACCCAAAACAACTCTACAGTATGTTAGAAAGGATTGACAAGCGCAGCTAGTGGCTGAGCACACACAATACGGACAAAATGTTTGAAAACAATCGGACAAGTTTCTTAAGCTGTTATTTTGGCTGCCCCGCCCAAAATATTGACGGCTGCTAAAGTGTGAAGTGCGGCCAGTGTCCGTTGGGGCGGTAGCACTAATGACAACCCCCACGGCGTCTCTAATGAGAACACTTTTGAAAAAACACTTTTTAAAATGAGCTATGAGTCACCAGCGTCCGGCGGAACTACGGGCGGTCCCCTATGTCTGGCTGGGCAGTTAACAAAATATGTTATGCATGTATTGGTGAACCATATGCTTCATGTGTTTCAGCAAGATTTTGAGATTTATATTGGTATTAACTGAGCCATTGTGTAAAGGAAGAGTTGAGTTATTACAAAAGGGTTTGTACGAATCCAAAACCTAAGTTGTATAATAATACCAATTATATACTAAGGCTAAGGATAGAAAGTTTAAATCCGGTTCGAATGACCAAATTTCTAGTGTTTGTATAAAATGAAGTATGACAATCGAGGGTTTTGATCAAAAATATGTTCATCGTGTCTCTAAAAATAAATATTGATTGATATAATACTAGATAATTTTATAAACAGTGTTTCTTGATACAAATATAGTCATTTACCTTTCTAACTATTTGATTGGCTAAGTTAATGGAGGGCTAAATAAGGATTAATATATACACAACTTCATGCTTATTTCCCTACATACATACATCTAGCTTGTAGGTATATCAGAGCAAATTATCATAATATTACACTAATACAAATGGGACGATATTGTTATGAGACTGTGGTATGAACTCAAAAGTTTTTTAATAAACCCAAACATCTAGACCACCCCATACAAATGCGCCCACTCAGAGCTAATCAAAACATGTGTCGCGACCAAAACAGCCCCACTGGAGATAATCCTCGATAATTGTCTAGTTGAAAAAAACCTCGACAAAAAGAGGAACTTAATGTACAAATAATTAGAAACAGTACATTGTCTGGCAGCGTAAATGCCACTTCCTCATGGGGTAGGTATTGATTCTGGGGTGTAAAAAGTGGGGGAGGGATAGGGGCACATGGCACATAGACCTACTTCGGTGACAACTCTTCAGGGGTAAAAACCATACTTAAACAGGGGTGACGGCGATAGGGCATTGTCCAGCCCCCATTTTCAACCGCCCCCGACGGCGGGGCCGGCTGTTTGTTTTTGGACGGAATAAGTGAAAACCGAAAACCGACGTCTAATCCGAACCGGCCAATTCCACATCGAAGTGGTTTTCTAGTCAGAGTGTGTGTGTGAATAAATCAATAACAATGTCTAATCCAAAGTGGTCAATTCTATCTTAGTCCTCGATAAAAAATAGTTAAAGGGGTTTCTTGGCTTTAAAGTGGAATACGAAACATATTGATTGATCTGACAGTTTTCACAGCATCCAGAAATTAGTTGGTGGATGATATTATATCACAACTCTTCTATATCCAGGGTTCGTTATTAACAGGATCAATTGTAACGAAACTTTAACGAAAACCTTACTCACGTCTTTTCCAACTTAAGATATAAACATTTCATTCACGTTCAAGCATTTTACGGTAAATCTTGCCACTTAAAAAACACAGCAAAGCCCAAACAATTTTTAAAACGTTTACGGTTTTGCCTCTCTACTATTTTACATGAAATCTGGCCACGTAAAAAACACAGGAAAGCCCAGACAATTTTTAAAACGTTTACGGGTTTGCCTATATATTTTTCTTCTTCCCTATTGACCCACTAAAAATATACTACTGTTTTCCTTAATAATTATACGTATTTATTTTCGGTATATTTTGTTAACACCCAAAAAAATCCAACATAATAAATTCGCCTATTCATTTTTGTTTCTTTATTGCCACCGTAGATTCCAGACATAGGAAATCACCTCAAACCAAAGAATCCATTCAACCCACAAACGTGCATAGTGGTACAATACGTACGCTATTAATTACACTGGACCCAGCTCGGTATGTCGTGTAATAAGACAAGGCTATCAATGGTTGGAATCTAGACCATCCCTTTGCCTCTGTCCAATCACCCCCACCCCTCCTATCACTACAACATAACATCTCTCAAGTTTATTGGTCTCAGATTGCAATCATACTCAAACGCTGAGATTTCTCTTCTTTGTCTATTTCTTGTCTTCTCAAGATAAGTGTGGTAGCTGATTTGTAATTGCCAATATTTTTTTCATACCAAAACCTTATCACATTCTGGACAGCAGTTTTTGTTATTGAACTATCTGTTGTGAACTATTCCATTGAAGTGTTTTTAGATTTTTCTTTGTGCTTTCAAGTTTTCAACCCCATAATTGATTGCAAAAGTGTTAATCTCATTTAAATGTATGGATTCTGGTGTTTTTCGAGGAATTCTGGTACAGAAATAATGTTTTTCGTTGACACCTTGCTTGATTTTCCTGAAGTGTTAATTTTATTCATGTTTAATTTTCATCTGCTAAATTTGAATGATGTTTCAATTGCTGATATTTATAGTTATTTGTTATTTCTCACGTTGACAAGATAAATATATCACAAACCATATTATTGTTGTTGTTTACCATTTGTGTTGCTGTTTTTTTAATCAATTGTGTTTATTTTAAGTTTAGTTAATTGGTGTTATTGACGTGTTTTTAGAACTTTTTCTTTATCACCATTTTTTATTTTTTTACCAACGAGATTTTTTATTGTTTGTTTGTTGTTTGGTCTTCTTTCTATTATTAAATATTTTGTTTTGTTATTTCCTCTACATTTACACTTGTGTGTTTGTTTAAATTACTTGTAGATTTTACGTTTGTTATTTGTTAGAATTGCTCAAACTCCTCGAGAGTGGGGGTGGAGCAAGTCCACCAACGCACTAGGGTGGCCAAAGGGGGCGGGGCTTCTGACCATCAACTGACCCTTGAGTGACCAATGCCACCCTCCCCCTCCCCCGCCACGGCACGCATGTCCAGCATCGACCAATCCACGGACAAGACAAACTTTCACCCCCTTTCCAACCACAAACGTGTCACAATTCCAAAGAGTATGAAAATATATTTATTCTAGAAACTGATGCGTGGTCGAATCACCTGAAAATGCACTCAACAACACTAAAAAAGAAAGCAAATAATATTTGTATTACTGTACAAACCTTTTGGGAGAGTAAACTAATGTACGCAATTGTACGGAATTTTTCACACAAAAACTAAAATTTCTTAAACAATCAAAACAGTGCGATATGAAATTTAAATATTTTACTCAGCTGAACTCTGAACTGCAGTATTGCTTTGTATGAATTTTTTTCAATGTTGCTGTCTTGGCCAGACCTTTTCACAGGCTTTAATTGTATGTCTACTGAATAGATTTTTAAATATGAACATCGTACCTGTACCTGACCTTAAATTATTCTCTATTACGTACATTTGAAATAGTGATTACTAGTTTAACCTCACTCCTCGTTTTTAACGCTGAACCCATATCAAACCAGTCGTTACCAAAGCGAGCTTTGTAGCGATTGTTTCACCACTGATAACGGGGTTTCAGATATTTTCGGCTGGCGATGACAGACAATGCTATCAGCTGTTGTGGCTGTTATCAGTGTTATCAGCTGGGTGTGTGTGACAGCTGGCCTCTCATCGATTGTTGTGGCTCTAACCCCCCTGACCATCCGTTCCGCCCCCGGACAATAACTACCCTTGAATTTGCTGTATAATGTATTCGCTGTTATTTCTGTGGGATCGGCATTTCATGTTTAAGCCATGTTTTTAGTTACTTGGAGGATGTGGTTGTTTGTTATTGAAGGTGGTGTCTGTCAGAAGAATGATGTGTATCCATTCGATTTGTATTCAAAAGGACTATAGCGTTTCACAATATATACCTAAATACATTCGCTGACTATAAAAAAGTTAACAGTGTCTTAATATGTACCTTTACCAAAAAATTAATCACAAGGGAGGAGGTTTAAGTAAACTGGCCAATAGTTATTTTGAACTATGAAGATGCGCCGACAACTATGGACGTATATAAGAAAGTTGCGTGTGTATATTGAGTGGGTGGGACATTACTGACCAATATTATCTGGTTCCAACGCCAGGACCATTTAATAAACGTCGAATGATTAAGAACAGCTGAATTTTTTTCTAATACTCATTATGATTGTTTTCGTTTGATAATCTCGTAAAAGAGCAATTGGCATGATTGTTAATATAGTACATTCTTTAACATGCTTTTTGAATAAAATTCTGCAACATCTTCCTCTCTTTCATGCTCTAATGTACCTCTTGTATTGCAGCGGAGGCGGAGGGGCCATCAGGACATCCTCACCTGTGGCGTCTGCCAGAAGTCCTTCGCCCTCTCGGACATCGTCAGGTTCATCCAACACAAGGTGCTGACCTGCAACAAGGAGAACTACGGGTGTGCGGAGCCCGGGGGGCGCCGAGGAGGCGGACAGTGACGACGGACTGGGAGTCGTGGGCTCCAGGAGGCCCAGCATATCCGCTCCCATCCGGAAGACCGTCCCCAGGCACCACAGCCCCGAGGACGAGCCTAGGTGCTCCACCCCCATCAAACCTGACCCCGACAGCCCTCGGATCAAGGAGGAGCTCGACATCACCTCCAGCCCGGACGAGGGGTCCCTGCAAGAAACTGAGGACTGAGGTTGCGGACGCGGAGTCCAACACTACCCACTCAGGTATACAACCCTTAGGTAACCGGAGTCACCTTGGGGATTTATTGATGAAATATCGTGTTGCAGTTGGATAATATATAATTTTGAATTAAATTTACAGTAGGCCCCTTCTGAAAGGGCTGCCAACATTAAAAGTAGGCTAACAAGCCTACCCCTAAGTTGTTAACTGGAAAATTAAAATTAGCTTTGAGTTCTCCAATAATTTATTTAACAATTTATAACAATTAATTAAACAACAACAACATTAATTAATTAAACAACATTAATTAATTAAACAACATTAATTAATAACAATTAATTAACAATTAATTTAATAATTTATTTATTGGAAATATTTGATCAACCAATAACCTAAGGACTCTCTGTGAAAGAAACCATGTTTAAAATAGTTTAAAATACCAAATACCTACATCTCAAATTACACAAAGGACCTAGAAAGAGATACACCCCAACACCAAGAACTTTCATAGGCAGACTCCTCCATAACCTCAATCAAAGATTTGCCTAGACAACCAAAGAACCTATAGACACTGAGATACCCAAATCACTGTAAATTCCCAACGACACTCTTTCCTAAACACCCAAAGACACTAGAAACGGATACACCCAAACCACCCGGGTCTCCGTAGACACCCTCACCCAAACACCCAGACACCCTGAGGTGGCTAGGGCGATTTCCCTCACCCTCGTATCAGCATTGTGGATGGTCAGCAGAGCGGAGCACCTTTTTATAAATAAAATTAAAAGTACAGAGGGTCCTTTAAACCCGACGCGTGTCCGGGCCTACTGACCCTTTGGGCTCTAATCGATTACTTCAGTGTTTTGCATATCCCTCACTCTCATCGAGGAGACTAAGCATAACTCATTTTAGATTTAGCGATTTTTGACTTTGGCAATTTAAAATTATTGATAACCATGTTAGAGTTTGTTGTAAATTAACGAAGAATCAGTAATAAGTGTACTGCTAACGTAAAAATTACTATAGATAATCAATGATAATATTATACATTCGACAATATCCACAGGCAATAGCAGTGCTGCCAATATCACAGATACTAAAAAACATATTACCCCGGCAGGTTGGCAGTTGAGCACAATATGGCGGCGACATTTGCTGCGAGCGGTAATTGTCGCGACGGAATTGAAGCTATTTCCCGAGGCTTTCTCTCGAAAGGTCTTCCACATTCCGAATTTAAAAGCCCGATGGTCAACCGATTAAAAGGACATCTGACCAGCCGGCGACCTTGCCGCCTAATTATCTCGAGGTTCCCGCGCAAAACGCCGCTTAATCATCTGTCGGAGGCTTTGTGGGAATCTCAGCTGGTCTGAGACGCTAGAGATACGCTGTAGTAGTAAGTGGCCAATTATTGTTTAATAGCCTCAATATCACGATGATATCTTTATTGCGGAGGCTGGATTGGTACGAGTACGGTTGCATTTGTGTTCGAGAGAGTTAATAGTGATTAATTTGAATTGATTCGAATTTTGAATGCTTAATAAGTTTTATTTTTAGAAGATTATGTAGAGTAACTAAAAAAAATACATGAGATTGGTTAATTTAAATTAATAGTTTGTGTACCTGTGTACCATAAAATTGATTTGTCGTTAATTTCTAATGACGACGGAACCAGAATTAACTGGAATAGTCTAGCTAGAATGTTCAGTAGTAACAGGTAGTGCAGATTGAAGAATACACACAAGAATAACACAAAATGTGTGTAATTACTGTAACACACTTTTTAAATCTTATTTTAGGGTTATCTAAGTTATGGGAATTTCTTGAAGTTTTAAATTACCCACATTCGTTAAACATACTACGTTTCTTATATATTTTGGAAATTATACAATCAACAATATACATCAATCAACGCTTCCCTCATTTTAAAACTGCTTTATTTCTTTGTCTTTCAAATAACATTTCCTTTAACACTCCAATTGTAACACATTAATTTGAGTTTCTTACTAGAAACAACATAACAAATAACGTGGATCTAACTAAACAACAAAACAATTTTTTTCCGAACACACAACCCTGTGGAACTCCCAATAAATATCCACCTCGCGTCAAAGAAGCCGGTAAGATATCAAATTAGTCCCGGCTTAGCCGGAGCTCACAATCTGTTATCAATAATAACAGATGCGCGGCTGGCGCTGAAGGGGTTTGGGGGTTGATCTGTATTCAGCCCTGCGTCAGCTGATGCATAGGTCACGTGACGTCATATACAACCCCCGCTGGTGACCAGGGCTATACGTCACTCTGGACGAGATAGCTCACCTCTACGTGGGATGATGTTTCTAACATGTTGCAGTTCGTGGGAAATGTGGGGAGTTGGTTAACGTAACAGGCTTCGAGAATCAAAGAGATTGAATTTATAGATTTCAGTGTTTCCCGCTTATTTTTTTAGGTAATTCTTGTTCTGTATTGGCTCACCCCTTGTTTTTTGATGTTTCACCAAACACTATTTACTTTATGGTTCAGCGCACGGGACCAATGTGTGGACAAAATGCAAGTTTAACAGAAGCTAATTTTGAACTATTTGATTGTTTTGTGTAAGAATGATTACCTATGATTGTTTTGGATACGATACATCGCGAATTTTTGTATGTTCCTTTTTGTCAGTTATAACTTCATACTATAATGAAGAAGTCTTTCAGAAAATTTAGGATAAACACATTAGCCTTGTTTTATTTACACTGATATTAAAGGTTCACTCATTTTATACAGCGGTTCTGCTGATCAAGACTATGTAGGATGTGATAACCCTTAAGTATAGTTGAAGTATTTGGGCTATTGATTGCACCTTACATAGGTTTTAAGCACTAATTGAATAATTTCTGTAAGCTGACAAAACTATCCAAACTCCAAAGCACCTGCTCACAAAATTGTCCAGAAGAAATTCTAAATATCCCATATACATCACACATTACGAAAACAACAACCTTATTACCCCACACTAAACCACGCAATCTTTTTGCAAACTTTTTGGGGGCTTTAAATATTGGTACATAAATATTTTAAGGATACAGAAACTTCACAAGGTAATCGCAAGTAACTTAAGACTCGAGAGAAACCCTAATATAACCTCATCGATGCAACGTTCACAGCGTCGCAACGCGATGGGTTTCCAGTCATTCCTCAAATTCCGAAATCTCGCACCCTACCGTCCTTGGAGGCTAATGGTCATCGGGAATTTTAAAATATACTCACCTCGTGAGGTCCTTTTACGATCCTTCGCCTCACGGATCCTGATCCTGCAGTTCAGGACAACACACATAAAACCTGGAACGGACGTTAACAGGTGTCGCCGCGTGTGTGCTACTTTCCGTTCGCCAGTATCGCTTTCAGATCTTCCCTATCGACGATCTTATGGTTAGTTAACAGTTTGTGATGGTTATTTAGCGACTTTATGGTTAGTTTGTGGATAAACTTGATTTCGTCATGGTTGTGCAGTCAAGATTCTTAGGTTTGGAATTAGGATTATGTTGGAATATCGACGAATAAAAATCGTTAAAATGCAATTGGGTTAGCGTTTCGGACTTCACCATGAGAGAGACATGCCCGTCATATTCCATGAGAGAGATGGTCCCGTCATATGTACAGACGTTAAATGGGTTTAGACTACTTTCCCAAAAAAGCGATTTTGATACCTTCTTTGTTTTGCTAAAACATTTACTGACACGATTCTCTGAGATGATGTTTGTGTTTTCTTTAACAACAATGGGAAGTTTGACTTTTGCTGTGTTGCAGTGTTCTGTTATTCAACATTTATAGTAGGCCTATTTTTTAATTCATTATATAGGTTGACTCTGAACTACAATCTTAAAGCAATTTACCAAGTAACGAAAACACTCTTATCAGGAAGTGTAATTGACTATCAAAACCGTTGCATGATAACATCTTGAACTTCTAAAACATTTTAAAGTCACGTCCAAATCCAAAACCGCAACCTCTGTGTAACATTCGACACTTTTACAATCACATTACTATACATTAACATACATAGGGTATTCTTCACATACGAACCTTTAACGTACTACAAATATCGGTGTCGCAAATTATACAACCCCTTATAAGGTACTTCAGTAGATACACCCGATCAAGAATCACACGATTGTCCAACTAACGTCCCAAAAGCCAACACCATTTTTACTACTTTTTCACTCCTATACAATATTTCACAAAACTTTTAACTTTACATTACGAATATCGGTTTCACATGATACAACCCTTTATGATGTCCCTCTAGACCTGCGATCCGATGGAGAAATCACACAACTGTACAATTCTGGCCAATACTCATTGTCCTTACCATTTTAGCCTATTCTCACATTCGAACTTTTAACATTACGAGTATCGGTTTCTCACATGATACAACCCTTTGTTCCCTCAGGATGTGATCCCTAGGGACGACGGGATGACCTGGACAGTTGTCACCCTATTGCCCAACGCAGCTGTCCAGGCTACAAAGGGGTGGGCGATGCAAATCAGCCCCGGTGACCTCGCGAACACCCTCGCATCTATTGTACAACCCTTGCTGTAATAAGGGATGATTAGCAGAGAGCAACGGTCAATCGATCGTAATTGTTGACCAGTTGCGCTGCCGTTTTTGAGAGGACCAGATTGTTGGCGATTTAAAATTTTACTGATCGTTTGAATTGGGGTTTTCAGTAGTTTTGAAAAAAATTCAAGTTTGGAATTGGTTCAGGAGTTTTAAATATGTGTTAATTGTTGTTGATGAGGTAGTTGTGAAATGAAACATTTGTGCAGTGGGTACATCGCACATAAAGATTGAACGGTTGTGAAGTTTGTATTTGAATGACTTTCTGTTAGAAGTCTAGGCAAGATAAACGTATTTAATGCATTGTTCATTGTTAATTGAGAAACACAGAAATTCAAGCAATGCATGAATACTTATTTTAATCATCTACTCAAAGTTTTAGCGTATTTTTCCAATTTTACATTACGTGTTTGGTTATATTTTTGTGACATGAATGATTGAAGA